GACGTACTCCAGTGGCTCAGTTAAACAAGTGGTAGAAACTGCCTGTAAAGTTGACGTACTCCAGTGGCTCAGTTAAATTATGACACCGCACAAGATGAGAGTTGAAAAAATTGCCATGTTGTTCGTAAAGTATTAGAATTACTAAGCAATGCTGTAGTTTATTGTACGGAAGTTGTAACATTTTTTTTTTTATGTTCTGCTTTTGAATTTAATTTTGACCTATTTGACTGAGCATAGATCAAACTACACGCTGAATTTGAAAACAAGTCTGGAATGGAGTCATGGCGTTGTTCTATATTGAATTAAATATTTGGTTTACAGTTTTAGCTATTCTCTTTCTAAATTCAGTACACGTCTGCAAGTCTCGTTTTTTCCTTAAATTTCTTAACCGATCGGTTTTCACGTGACTGTGGTGTGATACGATCTGACACATGCGCACGTTGCACCAAAGACAGTTCGAACTTTAAGTAATACGATAATATCTTGACGTATATTGTGAATAGATTTACTGTATTTGCAAAGTGAATACAGTACCATACAGTGACTATAGCTGTGTATTTTCATACTAGTTATTACAGAAGGTGACGTATAAAAAAAAAAATGTACGAAATATACTAAGCCATTACCATTTTCGTTTCAAGCATAACGTTTGGCCTGCGTGATAAAGTGACTTCAGTGTCGAAATATTTTTTTTTTTTTGCATGTATTCTATTCAAATAATATATTTTAATCATAGCAACCAGGAAAATAAGATGTAAGTGAACACATCAATTTCTTTCTTTTCTGTAATTGAGCTATCAAGTTGCCATAAACGTACAAAGAAAATAGAAAACTGAAGAAAAGGGAGAAGAAAAAAGATTAAAACAAAAGCAAAAATCATGACGATTATAAAATCGGTTGAGTTAAAATCAACCTTTACCTTTTACCTATTTATTGTAGGCGTGGGAAGTGTAAATGCGGTTTCTTTAATCATTATCTTTCATTAAACCTTTTTGTTGTCAAATTGATCAAATGAGAATTAACATGAAATATAAAGGCGGGTTCTTTTGGATTATTCGTTTAAAATAATGCAAAATCTAGTCCACTTAAACGGAAGAAAAGCGTTTTATTTCTTCTACCACATGTTATACAAGCTCAGTGAAAGACAGGCCAAACTCACAGATAAGAACGGTAGTCACTAGTTAAATTTCGTTTTGTATTTGTGGCACAATATCAAAACTGGCTAACTAGCACACTCGCTAACTCAGTAATCCATGTGCAACAAACACTAACAGACTCACAAACTAACTGACTAAATGTGATATTTTTATA